CCATCCATCCATCCATCCATCCATCCATCCATCCATCCATCCATCCACAGGGAGAAATATGAGTCATCCAGTAGCATTCTAGCTAGCATGTTACTAATTTCATTTTTAAGAGTTCAGTTTCAGTCCTCGGCGCTGACGCTGCATAATTTCTCTAGATTTGTCAAATTTAGTCGTAAAGCTGTTTGGCACCTCAAATACGAGCTTTAAAGCCAAATGTAAATAAAAACTAGCGTGACCGAACGCGAGGGTGTAAAGTTTCTATCACAACGAGCCACAGACGGAGAGCGAACGTTGTGGGCTGAACTCAGACTGATGGAAATTTCCAGATGTTTTCAGTGTTTCTTACAAAACAAACCTAGAAGAGCTTCTGTTTTTGGTGGTGGATGCAGTCACCTAGAGAGGTCAGGTCCTGTGTGGTGAAGGACAGGTCCAGGGAGTTGGGTCTCTCCGGACGGCGAGTCCTGGGCTGCCTGAGTAGAGCTTCTCCTCTCATGATGACCGTAGCCTCCCTTGGGGGGTCTGCTGCAGTGGACCCCGACCCGGCGCTTTCGCCTCCCATAGTCTCCCTGCTCCCTCCCTCCGCAGTGCCCTCCTCCTCTCCGGCGTCGCTCTCCCCGCCGCTGCCGCCCTCCCCCTGGCCGCGCCCGGTGTTGCTGTTGTTGTTGTTGGTGTTGGGCCGGGCCGAGCGCAGGGCGCTCGCGCTCGAGGACCCGTCCCTCGAGTCGGGCGGCTCTCGCTCTCGGCTCAGAAGCGGCTCGTGCTCGTCGGGGCTGGCTGTGATCACGCCGAGGCTGAGCCGGCTGTCGTCGGACCTCAGGGCCGCCGATCCGTTCTGAGTCAGTCCGTTGCCCCCCGCCGCCATCGTTGCCATGCCTCCGCCGGCGTGGCCGTTGACGGCTCTGTTGACGGCTCCGTTGACGACTCCGTTGATGCCGCCGTTGACGTGCACCTCTCGCAGCACGGGTACGTTGTTGGTGCCCGCGTGCGCCTCGACAGTGTTTGTGCCAGCCACCGCACCCGTGTTGATCTTTGTTCCCTCCACCTGCCTCAAGTTGGACTTCCCCGAGCGTCCGAACTTGAACCTGAGCGAGGAGGACTCCTTCTTGGCGGGCTTGTTCCGCAGGGGCAGACTGGACGGCCTCTTTGGCAGGTTCTGCTGCTTGGGCAGGGGGAAGATGGCGGCGGGCATGGTCGCAGGGGGCTCCGACGATCCCGAGGCTTCACTGGCCATCTTGATGAGGGGGTACAGCAGGCTGGAATTGCCGGGGCTCAGTGGGTCCGGGGAGCAGAACTGCTTCTGGGAGTGCTCCATTAGGTTTTCGTCAGAGCTCTCCTTCAGGTTCTTGTCCACCTCTTTAGGATCCAGCTTGGTGGTTTCCAGATCCTCCTGCGTCAGATGTAGGCAGACGGGGACTGTGCTGGCTCCCGCGGGCCCCTCAGACTCGGAGATGACGGTGGTGGTGGAGGTTGAGGGGCTGCCCCGCAGGCCCACGCTGGTGCTGCTGCCCTCTGGGCTCGGCAGACGGGCGTTGGCTTGCTGCTGGCGCTCCTGGTTGATGGAATTCCTGTTCCTCTCTCCGGTTCCGGCCCCGGCTCTGCTGGTGGTGGAGCTGCTGGAGTCCACCTGCATGTTCTTAACTACACCCTCGTGCTCTTCAATGTAGCTGGAGGGGTGGTCGGTGTACGGACCAGATTTTGGGGTCATACGATTCCTGTAAACAAAACCAAAAACAAAGAAAGAAGAAAACGTCTCAAAACAAATTCCAGACTGACGGCAGGACGTCAGGGACTGAGCCCACCTCTCGTTGTGCAGAGTGGTGGACATGGGGTTCAGCGTCGGACTGACGGACTTGGAGCGGTCCCATATGAGCAGCAGCTCGGCGAGGCGCTCCTCAGCGCACTGAGCAGTGAGGCGAGCCTCGGCGTCCTGGTCCCAGCAGTCCTCCATCGTCTCCTTGAGGGAGCGGACGGCCTGGAAGGAACATTCAGCACCAAGAGTCACAACGAGCTTCAGCAGATGTTCACTGAAGACGAGTCAAACGTTCAGAGGAAGAAAAACTGAACTTTCTGTCTAAATGCTAAGTGCTCAAGGAACAAAGCTAAAATTAGCAACACAGTAGCTAAAATACAAGCAAACCAGAAGCTAGGAAACATTAGCAAAAGAAAAGCTAAAATAATAAAACAAGCAAAAACGAGGATAACCAATAAAATTAAGAGAACAGTATCTAAGTTAGCATAACTACTGCATTAGCATAATATTAGCTAAAATAAGCAGAATAGAAGCTAAACACCAACATTAGTTATACAGTAGCAAAGCCAAAACAACCAAAACAGTAGTTAAAAGCTAAAATGAGTGAAACCATAAATATAAAATTAGCAAAGCAGTAGGTTAAGGCCAAAATGAGCAGAACAGTAGCAAAGCTAAAATTAACATAACAGTAGCTAAAATAAGCTAAATAGATGCTAAAACACCAGAATTAGTAGAACGATAGCAAAGCTAAAATTAGCAACACAGTAGCTAAAAGATAAGCAAACCAGAAGCTAGTAAAACATTAGCCAAAGCTAAAATAATAAAACTAGCAAAAATGAGGTTAAACAATAAAATTAAGAGAAAAGTAGCTTAGTTAAAATTAGCATAATAGTAGCTAAAATAAGCAAAATGGAAGCTAAACACCAAAATAAACAGAATAGCAAAGCTAAAATTAGCAATATAGTAGCTAAAAGACAAGCAAACCAGAAGCTAGTAAGACATTAGCCAAAAAAAAAAGCTAAAATAATAAAACTAGCAAAAACAAAGCTAAAGACCAAAAGTAGCAAAACAGTGGCTAAAAGCTAAAAATGAGTGAAACCGTAAATATAAAACAAAAATTAGTAAAGCAGTAGGTTAAGGCCAAAATGAGCAGAACAGTAGCTAAGCTAAAATTAGAAAAATAGTAGCTACCCCCCCCCCCTTTCCAACACGCTCACCAGGCTGTTCTCCTTCCAGGCCTCGGGGAATTTGGGCCTTTGCTTCTCTCTGGACACCAGGACCTGCATGTCCTCAAACGTCGGGTGGTTCCCTGCCTCGGCCTGGAAGGCCATCTGGTACTCTGGCACAGACTCTCCTGAAGGCACAAAAAGAAAAAGGAAAGATCTCTCTTTTAGAAATAAAACATCACATTTAGAGCATGTCCTCCACATCAAACATCAATTGTGTTTTCCCTCTTAACTAATATTGAAATGGCAACAAAAACTACTTCTATATTTGATAAGCTGGTCTTTTCAGTACTGATAGTTGGCCTTAGTTGTTTCATTTTGTACAAATTGTTCGTTGCCCCCCATTTGTATTTAGGGAATGGATGGGACTTGCTTTTTGATGGGTTCAGAAGTCTTAAGACTGGACTGTGGGCTCGTCCTGCTTTCTAGAAAAGACCTTAAAGTCTCACCTGGGAAAAGGTCGGTACATCTCATAAAGATCTCCCAGTAGATCAGGCCCAGGGCATACATGTCCACCTGCTTCAGCGCCGATTCACAGTCCCTCAGGTTCACCGCACCTTCCAGGACCTCTGGAGCCATGTAGCGAACTGTGCCCACCTGGCAGAAGATGGGAGGAGAGTTTCACCCAACATGACACGAGAGGAACAAGCAAGAAGAACTCGCATTCAAGAGTGACGACTAAAGCCGAACGGTATTGAAAAATAGGAACTAAAACCGTGGCCTTTTTAGTCAGAAAAGAAAAATAAAGTTCTGATCCTATCCACTATCGGCATTGGCTTCCGATGCTGAAATCTTCCTTTAATTCAGTATTGAGCCGAGATCATGGCTCCAAACTCCGAGGTCCTGAGTTCAAAAGATAATCCAGTCAACTTTGAAGGGATGTTCTAACAGTTATCACCATTTTCTCAACCAAACCACCTCCGTGATACTACGCCAGCGGATGGTGCTGAATGCATCACTCCGCCGGGATTTGAGTAAACCTTTTCCTATTGTATTGTTATGCACCATTAGTGTTTAGTGTAGATCTTAGATCTTTTAGCGTACCGTTTGGTGTTCGTTTAGCGTATATCTTGGTTTAAATCTTAGATTCTTATTTACCGTTTCTTTTTACACTTTATATTTTTGCTATTGTTGGATGTAACTGAGACCCTGTGTACACAGTTTCGTTCCACCTCATGTACCACATGTGATGCGAATGACGATAAAGAGCCTTGAACCTTACAAGTACCCGGATGTCTGGCAAACTGAACTCCAAGTACAATACAGCGCAGTAGTCCTGGTTTGTGCCGATAAAAAAACAGCAGGAAAATGTTATCCAAGAAGCTTTGCTGCTACGGGACTTGCACATGAGGCTTGTCGCCATAGCCGTCACTCTTACAAGTTATATGGTTCATACCATTTCCAAAGCTGATTATTGGGGGGGGGGTCGATTTTTGTCTTCGAACTGACAAATGTAAACAAGAGTACTTGCATCTGTTCAAAACACTTTGTTGGAGGGAACGAACCGACAGAGGAGCACCCTGACCAGCGACTGCAGTAGAGCTGTCATTTCTAACCCGGGCCCCAAGCCTGGCCCATATTCGGGCCGGGCTGTTATAATGTGCTGGATGGGCTGTCCGGGTCTGTGTCAAGCTTTTAATTGCGTCAGTGGACGCGCGCGGCTGGCAAGCCAAATATATGGCAACATGGCTTGCCATACATTCCAATTATACAGCAACATGGCTTGCCATACAGCCGCACGCGGCCATTTGACCACGAGCTGACCGGCCTTGAAAAAGGTTAAAAAAAAGCCCAGTTAAGCTTCAGATGGGTCTATACTTCCAGGAAGCGATGAATCAGCCAAATAGCCGTTCAGCCGCTGCACAGCAGACATGTCAGAGCAGGGTCCGTGTCTGAATAATGCAGAATGTAGGCAGAAGCAGGGATGTAATACGCTTTGACGGTCATGAAAGGACAAATACCCCCTCAGCTCCGATCTTTTGCCCCTTTTATTCAGCTGTGCATCCGCAGACCGTTAACTATATAAGCAGTCAAAGCTTAATTAAAAATGTTGGGGGGGTCTGGTTCGGACCTGTAATTACTGTTAATTTGCCGAGTCGAATTCAGAAATGATGGCTACGGGCTGGGGCCAGGTCGGATTTTTTTGGGGGCCTGAAAGTAACTCTAGACTGCAGTCCCTGAACAGGTATGTCCATCCATCCAGTATGGAGCACTGAACGCGTTTGTCAACCCGACCGCGCTAATTTGTCTCTTTAGGCATTCAGTTCAGCTTCCATATAGAATATGTTTTCACCTTTGAAATATAGAGCAAAAGAACCGATCGCTAACGGCTAACACCAATTAAAGTGGCAGACAAAATCATTCTTCATCCTGCCACCAAAAACATCCGCAATGCATGGTGAATCGACGGCATGTATTCTACACGAAATCTTCTGTCATCTGCTCTTTCTCACCGAGGCTAAAGAGTGAAAGTCACCACGGTAACACAGGGAACGCCACATGTACCTTTTTATAAATTCGGCTCGGTTGTCGGGCGCTGCTAGTCCCTTGCATGGTAGCCAGAGCTTCAGCTGTGTATTGCTGTATCTTTCAATAAAGTCCACGTCCATTTTGGCTTCAGGGACATCATCTTCGTTTAAGTTGACATGGACAGAAGCATTGGAGGTGGCTATTATGCATGAGGTCTGTTGCGTTGTTTGCCCGACATCCGGGATTTTGGGGATTCTCCACAATTCTTGTGACGTCATCCCTGACCAACGCTACTGCAGCGGTGTCCTTACATTGCCTGTGTGGTTTATTAACATACCGGTAGCCTTACCCAAAATTCTGACTAAAAACAAGGATAAATCAAGGATTTTAAGAATTATTCCAGATTATTTTCAGACCTTCTTTCAAGCTCAGGACTCAGGAATATTCATTCCAAATATCGTCTATGATAAGGCAACAATCAGAGCAGCTTTATAATTGATAAAAATGGTTAACTAGATATGACTCAACCTGCTCCCTCATTTTTAATTATATTCCTACTTTTGGTAAATACTTTTCTTAAGAACCGCAGATGCACCAGATTTTTTCCGAATGCCAATGTCATTTTTACAAGAAGTACAATTAAGAGTTTCATTGTAAGGAACTGGTAAACCCCAAGTTTATCCAAGAACACAAGACTCCTCTCGGCTGCTTTTTTAAAGGCTCACCTCGCTTATGGCAGCGTTTTCGTCCTCTCCGTGGCGCGTCGGCCTGTTCCCCGTCAGCTTCATGGACAGGCCGAAATCAACGATGACGCACGTGCCGTCCGTTTTGACCAGAACGTTGCGGCTGTTCAGGTCTCTGTGGGAAACGGCAGGCTTGTACAAGTCTGAAAAAAACAAAAAAAGACAAGAGATAATCATCTTATTAAAAACATTACCGTGAGCAGCACTCCCAGACCCAGACTTACTAAAAACACCCTCGTTAAGCTTTTCATTTGTTGACCATTGTCTGTGAATAATCCACAACAAAGAAATCCAACCAAATCATATCGGGCCGTTCTCTCTCTGGCCAGCAGAGGACGCAGTGAGGCAGCTCTGATGTGCAGGAGGAGGATTACTACTAGACCCAAGCCCAGGAGATTCTGCAGTTAGCAGCCCATCACTTCAGCGTCCTCCATCTGTCCCCGTGTGACCACTCCACCGCCGTGGGTTAACAAGTCGATTTTAACCACGTCTTCTCAAGTCTGCTGACATTCGATGGCAGGAGACGCTCAGACACCTTTGAATTACACTCCTAGTCTACTGTCCCTTTTCCTCTGTGAGGCCTGAGGGAAGTCTATAAATACTCCTGGCGAGGGCGTGCACGCAGTGTGTAGCCAGTGTTTGTCAAAACCAAGGCAAGCAAACTCTACGAGACAATCAGACGGGTGGAGCGGCAGTATGCAACACGAACAGCCGCTGAGAGGAGGAGGAGGACCGAGATCCTCTTCAACTTTTAAGGTTTCAAACATCAACTCGTGACATTTCGTTCTGTTTTTACTGAAGAAAATCAAGTTGTTCTCAACTACTTCCTGGCTCAGTTAGACTTGAGCAACAGCAAATAAATTGCTACATTCCTGCAAATGACGCACATTTAGTCATGAAGTGTCTTGATTTTGTCTCCATTTGGTCACAATTTATTCTGCTTTCCTCTCTTATCAGACACAATTTGATTTCACGGGTCACCAGACCCTCCCAAACCTGTCTTGCACTTTATAACTCGGAAACTAAACTTGAGACATGTTTAATAAACCCAAGATGAATCGGAGTAATTTGAGAGATTTGTTGGAAAAATGTTTTTTAAAAAAATGCAGCAAGGCAACTGAGAAGCAGCGCAAACGTTTACAGACATTATGGAGACAAGAACTCATGGCCAACAATCGCAGCCCAGAGCCTTGTGACTTGCCACAAAGTTGGTTTGGACTTTTGACATGCAAAAGCAGGAACAAACTCTCGGCATAGCCCTACAGAACCTCAATGACCTACACAAGGCAAGGTCTGTGAACAAGGCCAGGCTGATTCTGGCAGATCTTGATCATCCACTTCATGGTGAGTTCAGGTTGCTTCCATCTGGACGCAGGTACCTGCTGCCCAGATGTAGAACGAACAGACCAAAAAACTCATTCATCCCTGTAGCGATCAGGCTTCCCAATGAACAGTGATGATTTCTGTAGTTATTTTAATGTCTCAATGTCTTGTCTAGTATTGTTGTTTCGTGTGCCTACTGATAAACAAATTGCCCCTCGGGGAAAATAAAGATTTTTGAACTTGACTGCTTTTAGTTAAAACGCCATTTTCAACCTATTGTTGAAACTTGTTTTGGTCTTAACAGAATTCAACTAAAACCCATTGTAAAAAAAGAACAAGCCAAAGTTGTACTACAACTTTTGGAGAGACCAGTAAGACCGAACAACAAATACTATGATGGGTTGAAGTACCGTATTTTTTGGCCTATAAGTTGCAGTTTTTTTGCATAATTTAAATGACCTGCGACTTATAGGCCGAAGCGACTTATGGATTTTTCCCCATATTTATAAACCAATTTTTGGCTGAGATATGACCATTTTCATTCATTCTGACTGAAAAAAGAAAGAAAAAAAGAGCAGTACCATTTTCAGCCACTTGATGGCAGCAAAGTAGTAGTAGCTGTATGGCATGCCGTTGTATCATGTAATAGGTAAAAGTGGCTATAATGACAAATTCAAAAAAGTTCAAGA